CTTCATACTCTCTAGTATTTTGACAGATCCAAAATGGGTGTTGGAAAGTGAGGCGAAGGTTGATGCTTCACAAATTTTATCAGCAATGCTTCCTTTTGTGGTGTTTCTAACTGCGGTTGCCGCTCTTTATCAACCTTCGACCTTCACTTGGTGAGTTGGAATAATATCAATTGGATTTTACTTCAAATTTTTTGGACCTTTAGTTCAATTTGGTTAAGCTATGTTTCCCATTAAAGGTTCTGGGTGTGTAGCTTTTTGGGTAACGGTAGTTTCAAATTTCTATTTTCAAGTATAATAGATTCTGTGTGCTTCATTATTCTACTTAAACAGTTGAATTTTAATGGGGTCAAACGTGCTATTTTTCAGTTTAGTCTTTATATACTAGTTTTAAAGGTGAAAAGTTAAATTTTTTGGTAAAATAATTTAATACTTATATACGTGTAACTTCTTGCTCGATGCTTTCTTAAAGATGTGTATGTTGGTTTTATAAATGACAGAGGAACCTGCAGGGTGTCAAAGGAATCGTATCCTCCTGCACTCGGAGGAATTATGTTGTCTATTGGAATTAGACTCTCCATTGATGATATTGCTCTTGCATTTAAAAGGTTACGACTTTTACTGTTCATTCTTTCAAGTTGTCTTAATGTTGATGGTTTTGAGGCTTTTGAAGTTAATAAAATTTGAATTTGTTGCAGACCTGCACTGTTATCTGTTGGCTTTGCTGCACAATATGTTTTGAAGCTGGCTCTTGGGGTGTTGGTAGCACAGGGATTTGGGATGTCTCCTATGTTCTTCTCATGTCTTATGTTGCCGGGGCACAACTATCAAGCTACGCCAGCTTCTTGAGCAGAGGCTATGTGGCCTTAAGCATTCTATTGATCAGCTCGACTACTATTGCATCAGTTCTTGTTACTCCTCTTTTAACTGGCCTTCTCATAGGTTCTGTGGTTTCAGTTGATGCAATTGCCATGTTGAAATCAATTTTTCAGGCACCAAAGCTCCTCGAGAACATAAATGCACTCTTTCTACTTCATCACAAATGTTGAGAATAAAATTGTGATCTTTTTCTTTTCACATTCTCTGCTTGGGGAATATGAGATTTTTAGCTCATTCAAAAGGAATTCTATCCGTTCAAGAAGAGCCCTAGTCCAAAACCTTGTGCTTTTTTATATGCCATTTGAAATTCAAATGCTTAACTTAAAATGTAATCGACGGTAGCTTATTTATTAATTGAGATGCCAATATCGGATGTGACTCAACCATTCTTTTCCTTATCTTTTTTTGCTAATGGATTTTCTACATTTTCCTGGTGGTTCTTGCTCTGGTCACTCTTGGGTTGGTAATAAATACTTAAGCGAAACCAGTTTTATCTGTTCTACAACCTTTAATGCCTTTTGTTGCAATGATTTGTACTTCATTGTGTATTGGAAGCCCCCTTGCTATACATAGAAGCCAAATTCTTTCACCAGAGTGTATGAAATTGATCGACCCTGTATTGTCATTTCATTCAATGGCATTCGCCTTGGGCTACTGTATTTCCAAAATTCTACCGTTGAGGTAAAAGCTATTCCTTCGAGTCACACTCTCATTGTTGGTTTGAAGTGCCAATAAAAGCAGTTCCATGAGATGCAGGTTCATGCGTTAGCTTGCAGTAGAATATGATTAAACAAGTTGAGTTAGAATCGGCTCAAGTTTTTCGATGATTGACCCATGCCAGAAGCAATCTTCAGTTTGAAGCCCGTATAGTTACATGTTTTGCATGTTTCTGATCTCAAATTTATTTTTGAATGTCAACATTTGGCCATTCTGAATCCATATCTGATTTGAGAATATAAAGAGAATTATTTATGCTCTCTCAGTCTCTCATTCTCTATCATATTTCTTTCATTCTCCATTTTCATTTGCCGTGTTGTCAAAATTCGGGACATTGATAATTGTTGGGAGTAAAAGAAGTCTCACATCGGCTAGACATGGAAAATATGATGGATTTATAAGGATGGACAAATATCTCTTTAGTATGAGGTATTTTCGGGTAAAGCCCAAAAACAAATTCATGAAGATTTAGGCTCAAAGTGGACAATATCATATCAATGTGGAAATATATGGTGTCCATAACCAAACAAATGGTATCAGAGCTCAGGGCCCAAAAACTTAGCCGGTGGAACGCAGTGGAGGTCTCCCCCCCTAATTAGCCATGCGTGATGCGTCTGGCTATGAATCATCAGCGTTTAAGGTGCCTTGTGGTCAGGCGGTGGCTCCCGTTTGGTCGAGGGCAACGACAATAACGACGGTACAAGATGATTGACTGATGGATTATCGTTTGAGGGAATGTCACAGTAATGTGGTCCTTCGTTTGAGGGGAGGATTGTTGGGAGTAAAAGAAGTCCCACATTGGCTAGACATGAGAAATATGATGGGTTTATCTCCATTAGTATGAGGCCTTTTGGGGTAAAGCCCAAAAGCAAATCCATGAGGGTTTATGTCCAAAATGGACAATATTATACCAATGTGGAGATATGTGGTGTCCATAACCCAACAATAATAATTTTTGAAATGGATGAATGTGATGTTGTCAAGTATGATTTGTCAACCAATATTGTCAAATTAGATTACACATGTAGTATGATTTAAAATGAGAATATGAATCTAAATTTTTTCTATTTCACTAATTATATTTTGAATATTTTTTCCCTTCTCTTATTGAGAAATAGTTGTCTTATTTATGATTTTTAAATTGAACCCGCAATAAATCTTAAATTTTTGTCAAGGTGGTTGTAGTTTTTTTTAAGGTTTATTAGCACAAAACGTCCATACGTTTCAATTTTTTACATTTTCACCTTTATTTCCCCGTTTTCTTGAAGAAAACATTATTTTCCTCAATTCTCATCAATTTTCTATGTGAAATGACAAATTTACCCTCTTATTTAAATAAAATAAAAAGTAAATGAGAAAACAATAAAGAACTAATTGCAACCATATGCTTGATTTTTTTAAAAATTACAAATGAGTTTCAAACAAATAATTAAAAATCAAAACAAAAAACAAAAATAATTTTAATAAACAACTCTACCCCAGCACCACAACCACCACCTACACTACCAGAACCACCACCCCTATCAAAAAAAATCCCCAAATCTTCTTCTCTCCTCCTCCTCTTCTTCCAAAATGGTCCAGGCCTCTTGCGCTTCTAGACCATTTAAGTGATGTATAAATTGGGCTGAAGAGGCCACAACGGAGGCCGTGGTGGTGAGAATTATTCTGCCACCCAAAACTGATCACTTGGCAATGCATCCTTGATGCGCTCCCAGTCTTCTCTTCTCCAAATTTCTTTAGCATATCGCTTAAGAGTTCCTCGATATCAAAGTGCCAATCAATTCATCAAGGAGAAGAGGACTCGCCTAGACTCGAGTCCTTGTGCCAGAGCTTGATGCAGTAGGTCTTCTATTATCAAATGTATTATCTCGTAACCCAATATCATCTATCTTCTTCTTGATTCTTGTGATATTTCCGGAGATCCCATGGGAAAGTGGTGCTTGATGTTATGGCTGACTTGGAAGACTTTCTGAGTGAATTTATTGCTGTGAAACATGTAGGTTGGAGTAACTTGGGGAGAGCGAAACGTACGGATCCGCCATTGTCGAGTAACTTGGAGGGGGGTGGAGATTTGATTTAGATGAAGAAGAAGAGGAGGAGGAGGAGATTTTGGGGATTTTTTTGGTGGGGGATTGTGGTGCGGTGGAGATGGTGTTTGGGATTTTTTTGGTAGGGGTGGTGGGTTGGGGTTTATTAAAATTATTTTTGTTTTTGGTTTTGAATTTTAATTATTAGTTTGAGATTCATTTGTAATTTTTAAAAAATTCGAACTATGGTTGCAATTAGTTATTTATTGTTTTCTCATTTACTTTTTATTTTATTTAAATAAGAGGGTAAATTTGTCATTTCACAAAGAAAATGGATGGAAATTGAGGAAAATGATGTTTTCCGCAAGAAAACAGGGAAATAGGGGTGAAAATATTAAAAATTGAAACGTATGGACGTTTTGCACACTAAAGATCAAATATATGGATGTTTGTGCTAATAAGCCTTTTTTTAATCCTTAACTTTTCTAGCTGAAGTATCATAGTAATTTCTTTATTAAGTATAGTTATTAAAAAATAAAGAGGACGCAGCAAATGAAGGTGTAGGTGGCAGACCCGGGTTCGATTCCCTGCTAGTGCATTTCTTTGTTTTGTACTTCTACTTTTAACCAAATACTTTTGAGTTCTTCAGTGAGTAAAGCACCGTCGATGATTCCCGAAGACAATATTGACGATATTATTGTTGGTAATCATTGAGAAAGACGTGTCATCGATCACCAAATATATCGTTGTGATTAATTTCCTCTAAATCATCTATTAATTGAAATTGACGACCACTGACATAATTTTCTTTAGCGGTCCTTTGTTTCATTAATTTTCATATTATTATTCTCTAAAAAGGCTTCTTTGACGATTTTGCTGAAAGCACCCAAATTGCTTGAGCCACCTCGCATGGTGCTAAAACGTGGAGTTCTGGAAAAAGGGCAACTCAAGTTTTATCTATCCTAAAATAAAAAATCAGGCTCCAAAATTTAGAATTGCAAAAATCAGGTTTTTCATGAATTAATTAATTATATTTTACAATTATTATATTAAATTAAATATTTAACTGTAATATAATATAATTAACCCACCCCCACCCCACCCCACCNCCAAATAGATGGTCACAGATCGACCAAATCACGGGTCACAGATAGACCAAAAAATTTATTTGTCACAGGTCACAGACATTTCGACCCATCCGCCGCACCCGTCCCCAATCCTACCAACAATAACACCAACAACCACCACCGCCCAAACCACCACAATCGTCGTCGCCTACACAGCATCACCAACAACGTCGCCCCCATCACAACACCACCACAACCACAATAATAAAAAAAAAAAAACAACCATCATCATCAACACCTAACCCACAACACCAAGAAACCCACCACCACCACCGTCGACCCCGTCAAAACACGACCACAACCATTGCCACAACAATAACAAAAAACGACCACCACCCCATGGGCCACCATTATCTCACACGGGCCCCACACACAGGTCCACCACACGGATTCCCTTAGCCACACACACACATCTGCCACACATAGAGATGTGTCTCGCCACAGACCCACACACATCTAGCTCAGCTTCTTCCAATTCTAGTCCTTGGTGTCTTCTGCAGCTGCTTCCCCACAGCCACATAGCGTCAGACGCTACGACGCTGCCAGCAGCATCGTCAAGGCGCGGCTGCGATTGACAACAGCTCCTCGACACTGCTGCCGACAACGTCTCGACGCTCCTGTGAAAAGCAGCAGAGTCGAGGCGCTGCTGCTATTGACAGCAGCGCCTCGACGCTACTGCAGGCAGGGAGGAGAGGGATGGAGAAGGAAGGGGGAAGGGGAGGAGGCGAGAGAGAGAGAGAGAGAGAGAGAGAGAGAGAGAGAGAGACGATGTATGGGGTGGAGGTGAGGAATTGATAAATAAATTAGAGTTTTAAAATATTAATTATTTAAAAAACCTGATAAATAAAAAAAAGGTGAAAAACCTAATTTTTAAAAAGGCCAAACTTAAGACCTGGTTAAGTGTAATTTCCTCCCGGAAAAATTGCTCTAATTGGTGCTGTTTGTGCAATTTCCTCTTTATCTAATAGGGCTGAATTAACTCACTTTTGACTTTTCGTTCCACATAAAATTGAAACCGAAACCGGTATAATGTCATGACCTATTGCAGCTAATTGTCAACCCTAGGCACGCATTTTACATTTAAACAGAACAATTAAGTTCGATCTCATATATAAGTTTACACTATTAAAAAGAAGATAAATTAATTAATTTTAATTATATTATCAACACGCCTCACACGTACATATTTAGTTTTTAATTTTTCCTCAATAGGACTGACCCAATGACAAATATGGTACGACACCGTGACATGAGAGGATCTAACGCTATACCATGGATTGACAATTTTTGGCAATATCCGAACTCACGATTAATGTCTCATGTAATATTATTTTAAATTATCTCATTTAAAAACTTATTTATTAAAAAGAAATAAGCTATTTATTTGGCTTGAATTATCAAAATTAACAACTAAAATTCTATCATGTCACTATTGGATTTTTTATTTATTTTATTTATTTTTTCTAGTTTTCAAAGAAAATGTCCACACATTTCTATTTCTATTGATTTATACATCGAACCTAGATATCAGTTGGACATACAAAGTAATAAAGTAATATTAATTTGTATATATTGTATTAAATGTGGAAAATAAAAATCAATACTACATTTACACGTTTGAAATTCCATCCAATTTAACAATATAAATAATTTTCTTTTTCTCAAATTTAACAGCGGCGCTGCACTATTATTATTTTTAATAATTCTCTATAATATATTTAGTTGATGAATTCAGTTTTATAATTTTATTTTTAAAAATGCAGGGGCATATTTTTTTTGTGATATTTTTCTCGAGTGAATAAATTCCTCACAGTCCATATTTGATCATCATAATTCTGTAATTTTCATTGGTATGAATTTTAAATATTTAACTTTGCAATATATTTTTTAAAATAGCTCATATATATATATCAAAAATGATTTCTTTGTCAAATTATCTTTTAGCAAATTTTGTAGGAGAGGAACTCAACTATGTATAAGTAATCTCTTTAAGAAGAAAAAAAATACTAGAAAAAAATACTTCTAATTAATTAATTTTTTGGAAGATTGAAAACAATTAAATCTTTGTAATAGCCACATATTAGGTTAGTTTTGAACTTTTCCTCCCTCTTCTACAAGATCACATTACTCGTGTGAACGGGAGCTTCCTTTATTCTACGCAAAACATGTCTCAACTATCTAATTATTTGTTAACTTAGCTCCTGTTTGATCTCCATTTTCTAAAAACTCGTTTTTTTCAAACTCATTTTGAATTCTCAAATTCTTTCGATAAAATAATTTTGCAGATGTAAAATTTTTCTTATTTTTTAATCGCTCATTTTTAAAAAAATCACCATTACAAAACTTATTTGATAAATAAAAAAAAAGGTGAAAAACCTAATTTTTAAAAAGGCCAAACTTAAGACCTGGTTAAGTGTAATTTCCCCCCGGAAAAATTGCTCTAATTGGTGCTGTTTGTGTAAATTTATCTAATAGGGCTGAATTAACTCACTTTTGACTTTTCGTTCCACATAAAATTGAAACCGAAACCGGTATGATGTCATGACCTATTGCAGCTAATTGTCAACCCTAGGCACGCATTTTACATTTAAACAGAACAATTAAGTTCGATCTCATATATAAGTTTACACTATTAAAAAGAAGATAGATTAATTAATTTTAATTATATTATCAACACGCCTCACACGTACATATTTAGTTTTTAATTTTTCCTCAATAGGACTGACCCATTGACAAATATGGTACGGCACTGTGACATGAGAGGATCTAACACTATACCATGGATTGCCAATTTTTGGCAACATCCGAACTCGCGATTAATGTCTCATGTAATATTATTTTAAATTATCTCATTTAAAAACTTATTTATTAAAAAGAAATAAGCTAATTTATTTGGCTTGAATTATCAAAATTAACAACTAAAATTCTATCATGTCACTATTGGATTTTTTATTTATTTTATTTATTTTTTCTAGTTTTCAAAGAAAATATCCACACATTTCTATTTCTATTGATTTATACATCGAACCTAGCTATCAGTTGGACATACAAAGTAATAAAGTAATATTAATTTGTATATATTGTATTAAATGTGGAAAATAAAAATCAATACTACATTTACACGTTAGAAATTCCATCCAATTTAACAATATAAATATTTTTCTTGTTCTCAAATTACATATATATATTGTATTAAATGCAGGGGCATATTTTTTGTGATATTTTTCTCGAGTGAATAAATTCCTCACAGTCCATTTTTTATCATCATAATTTTGTAATTTTCATTGGTATGAATTTTAAATATTTAACTTTGCAATATATTTTTTAAAATAGCTCATATATATATCAAAAATGATTTCTTTGTCAAATTATCTTTTAGCAAATTTTGTAGGAGAGGAACTCAACTATGTATAAGCAATCTCTTTAAGAAGAAAAGAAATACTTCTAATTAATTAATTTTTTGGAAGATTGAAAACAATTGATCTTTGTAATAGCCACATATTAGGTTAGTTTTGAACTTTTCCTCCCTCTTCTACAATATCACATTACTCATGTGAACGGGAGCTTTCTTTATTCTACGCAAAACATGTCTCAACTATCTAATTATTTGTTAACTTAGCTCCTGTTTGATCTCTAAAAACTCGTTTTTTTTCAAACTCATTTTGAATTCTCAAATTCTTTCGATAAAATAATTTTGCAGATCTAAAATTTTTCTTATTTTTTAATCGCTCATTTTTGAAAAAATCACCATTACAAAACTTATATTTTTAAGAAAAATGAGTTTCAAACATACTCTTAATTTTATTATCTTTGATTTGTGCCGCCTCCCCTTCTTAGTGTATAATATGTATATATTCAATTAACATCTTATCAATTTTAATATAACCACGCGCTGACCTTATCATCTTCATTTTCACTATGTATCTCAAAGACTTTTGTTATGTAATAGCCCAACACTCAGTACCATTAAGCATAAGAAACTTGTACAGATTTATCAACTAGATGACAGAATACCCAAGTTGTAAGATTTTATAGGTTTGTGGAACCTATGAAATGTTGTCACATCTGCATTTTGTCACCTGGGTGGTAAACTTGGGTGTACATGTAGCATTTCTCTAAGCACGAGCACTAGTAATCTTTAGAACATTATAGGAATTTTAATGTCACACATAACTCATTAGTACTTTTCTATCTCATTTATCATGCACACTCTTATCCTAAATTCCACCGTTTTGAGGTTGTTTGACAAATCTTTTGGTAAAAATCTAGTAAGTTTTGATAAAAGTTTATGAAACATGTGATTTAAAAGTTGATAAAATGTGTGATTAAAATTAAAGTCCCACCAGTTAAAAAGTTGATAATAGTTGCAAAATTTTATCAAACAAGCACTAATAAATCGTGCGTTATACTAATATAGCCTTATGTACCCTTTATACCTAAGAATCTCCACCATGAACATGAAGCAACATAATGCCAAGAATATTGCTCACCAAGAAAGATAATTAGGGAACTTTAATAAGGAACTTCAAACAGACAAAAACCAAACAAAATAATAATAATAATAATAATATATACATGTACTCAAATTCAAGAAATTATTAGTTATATAAATTCATACCTTAATTTTTTTAACACGGCTGAAAATTAATTTTTTTTCAATATATAATAGTTTTTAAAATTTTATCTCTGAAATCTGAATTCAAAACATGAATATTCCAATCTTCATATATATACATATATCTACAGAGAGTAAACAAAAGTCTCATTTTACAAGAAGATGTATAATTTTAACGCAAACCTGGTAATAAATTGAAGTAAAAACATAACTAAACATAGATCATGTTTATGGAATCACAAATATAACTATTTACCCTATTATTTGGAGGATGGGAGGGTAAATTTTTTTTTCATCAGATCGAATTCAACCCAGATATATATACATACATACAAATACACACATATATATGTGTATGTATATGTATGTGTATATATGTATAACTTCATTGCTCAATTTGAACAATGATCAACAATATTATTCATGATCTGTACCTGTGTTCTAAGGCATTTTATGTAGTGAGCAGTTTCATTCAACAATCTGCAAAAATCCATACCTTCACCACCTGGTACAAGCTTCCTCAGATCATTTTCCTGATGAAAATTTAAGTCACTTCTAGGGTTTTCTCTTACTTTTGTCCTCGTCAAAGCATGGATTCTGCTTTTTTTCTTCAAAGCGCGATGTGAAGTACGGTTTCTAATCTTCCATAGTACTGCCCGGCTCCAGGCTCTTTTCGACCCGACTGCAGAAGCCATGGATGCGTAGGATGCAACTCTAATCATATGATATCTCCTGTATGTCTCCTTCATGGATGGTGAAACTGAAGCGCCTCTACTCTTGTTCAGTTTCTTCAGGGCTCGAACAAAACTGTAAGTAAACCTAGTTTTGATTGAATCAGGGTTTGAGGGAATGATCTGAGTAGTCATGGTGGGAAAGAGGAGTGGAATTTGAAACAAAAAATCCAGAAAACTGAAGAAAATTTAGGGTTTTGAGTGTAGGGTTTGTGCCTGGCTGTTCAAGGCAAAATCTTTTTGGCAAATGAATGGAGAGGGCAACAAGTGAAGATTTTCTTCTGACACAAAGGGGCCTCCTTGTTCAGAAGGACAAAAGAAAACTTCAGTTCAATTCAGACTTCTGACACACAAGATCTACTTGTTACTTATAATGAGAGAGAGAGAGAGAGAGAACGTGTGAAGGGAATGAAGAAAAGAGGAATAATGGGAGAGAAAGGATTGAAAATGGGAGGTGAGAAGGAGACTTGAGAATCAATCTTTTTATTTTTTGAATTTTTATTTTTTTAGTTATAATTAATTAATGTGTGTTTTCATCTTTCATTTTCAAAGCTTTGGGTTTAGGGATGAAAAGAAAGTTTAGTGGGATTGGATAAGGGCCAACCACCATATGATCGCACATGGTTCCATTACCCACTTGAAAATTTGTGGGACATGCATTTTTCATTTTTTTTGGTTCATTATTGATATCTAAATTACATATTTACTTATACAATTTCTACTTTGTCTCTTTTCTCATTGTTATGCAATTCAAAACCTAACAAATTCAGGGCAGCTGTGGAGGTGGAGGTGGCGGCTACTGGTGGTGGAGGAGTGGAGGACGGAGCACGGTTGCAAGTTATAATAATAGATGCGAATACATAACTCGACTTGACTTCACTCAATACTCTCTATAATCAAGAAAATCAAGCTTTATGAACTCACTATTTGATTTTTGATTTGACTTGACACTGCACCAGTAGGATAGATATGTAACAAGCATGTTATTGTTTAGGTTCATATTAATTTGGCTATAATTATGCACAGTGTTTTGTCAAGGACATGTCCTTCGGTGATAGTTTTTGACAACACATATTTTGGCGTTGAAGATAGATGTCTGTTACATATATTGCATTTTCGTGTAGTGGTATATAAGTGCATAGGCGGCAAGCATAATACAATTCAAAGATTATAAAATTAAGACCTAGCTCATACGGTAAGAGTGAAACTTAATCAAGGTATCGACCTAGGGTCGAGCCTCTTTTTGGAAAGAAAAGAGGAGAAAAAAAGTAACATTGTGACTATGTTTCCTTAAACTCCATAATTACTCAGTTGATCAGATTTCAACTTTCTTGAAACCGATGATTAGTCTTGACTTTAACATTAGTTAATTAATATGGGGCAACTATTTTCACAATAGCAGGTAAAATAATCAGTGTTTTTTTCTTCAAAGTTATCCACTTGAAGAAATTTGACTTTACTTTATGTTAATTTTCGAGCAAGATTATGATGGCAGAGTTTCATGTGAACAAGAAATTTGTTGCTATTAATTCATTTTACTAATGTAATTGTACTTCAAATTTATGTCACAAAAATTGCAGCCCGAGAAATAAAGTAAAAATGAACTTCATTTTGTGAAAAGATTTTGTTTAAAGACGTATGTAGAAGTACTTTGCACGTTGCATATACATATTTCTCGAGAGTCATAAAAAACTATACTTGAACACGTTTTGTAATTAAGGTGATGGAATGTTTGAAGTTAGGATTAATCTCGTAAGAATTAACAATCTTAAAATAGCCATTAATTTAACATAACAAGTGATCTTTCTCGAATCAATAAATCTCCACATACACACACACACACAAACAGACATGCAAACCAAACGCACGCTTGGCTGGAAATATTCTTGAAGAGGTAGCCTTCAATAGCAAAAGAGGAACATGGTAGGTCCATCTTGCTTGCTTAGAGGTTAATGTGACATATACATACAGATATATACACATCAAAGTATGCTTTAAAATTAAGACTTCTTAACTAATTTCATGATTAGGGCTCCATTTATATAATCAAGATTCACATGCATGCTTGCTTCTTTAAATTAATTTGTTGTTAGGACCACTAGAAATTGGCTTGTGACTCATCAACAGGTGTAATCCTTAATTAATACGGTTTATACAGCATTAAGTTCTCTTGATTTGCCTTAGGGTCGAGCTGTCATGCACCCTATATTCATGAATAAACATATGATAATGTTTAATATTTTTAAAAATTTAATTTTTAGATGAGATGATTATTTGATATAGATTCAAGGATAAAAACGATTCTCGCTTCAAATCTGAATATTATCTATTTTGAAAAATGTCTCTTTCTTATTTAAAAGAGCGCAAAGTGTCAAGTAGCATCTCCTGCTCTACCAACTCCTCTATTGAGAACTAGAAATCTTCTACCACCAAGAGAAAATTCAGACCCAATCTTCTTTAATCCCCCTCTCTTTTATAATGGCAATTCAAAATTCTAATGACGACTCATTTATAAGACAAATTAGGGTAAAACTGAAATTATAAGTGTGAAATTTGGATCTCTACTTTACGATCCGAATAAGGGCTCCGCACAACAATAATAATTAAATTCTACAACTTAACAATCTCCCACTTAGAGACTAATTCACCATCAATAACTCCTTTGCAGCAGCACAACTCCTCAATCCTCAAAAGAGAAGTTCAACTCAAGTTGCACATTTCGCTTTCTAGATCCACGTACTGGCTCCGTACAGTATCAAATTAGGCTCCACAATTTAACATTCTCTAATTGGTTGGATAGAGCTTAATTACTTGAATCTTGTACACGCATACATTTTTTATTCTTCTTTGTTTTCATGTACACACGAATAAATACCGTAGATTCAAGAAATTTATTTCTTACCATCACTCTCGTGAAAAAATATTCCAAAGTCAATGCAAGGATTGCGCAAGGCTAGGTGGAGGAAACTTTAAACCAAAAGGGTATTTTGGATTATGAAATTTTGACTAATGAAGAATTGTCTCTACTAAGAAAGTTACAAAAGAAAGTTAGTACTTTCCAGTTTTCAGAAAATTTCCTCGAAATAGTCTTTTCTCTTACGTTAATTAAGTACAATTGTGCCGATGATTAGAAGTTGTTTAAAAGCATCTTTCTCATTGTTGGATTTAAGATATTTTAAAGGTTGTGATGTAATAAGTTGATCTTCAAACATACTTTCTTTTCTTTTAAGAAAGTTGAGTGTCTATTGAAAAGGGATTATCCGCTCATCAACGGAATAGAAATAAATAAATTTGACAGAAAAAAAAAAAACTTGCGAATTTGAAGTTGTAACAATTTGATCTCCAACATTTTTATAACGCGAATTTATCAACCTTCTAAGTTTTAAATTTGTAACAAGTTGGTGTCGATAGACCATTTTCATCTATTCGACCTTTGAAAGTCATTGCATTAAAAAGAAAATAATATGTTTATTTTTTAACCTAAAAAAAAAAAGAAAGAAATTTGTCATAAAAAAGAACGAACTAGCTTCACAATGGACCATCCTACTATGCTTTTACCAACTCTATTTCCTTAAACATTTATACTTGGTACGCAACACTTTTTTTGAATAAAAAGAAGTCAAAATTCTCAATTGATTCTAATACTGTGTATCAAATATGCATGTTTGTGGACTTGTGTGGCCGATAATTCTGATCTTTAAGTATGCTTGCTAGTGTTTACCACCTTATTCTCGTCTGTTCGCACTTTCCCGGATCAACATTCGTTACCAAAATGGAGTAGAACTGAATTTCAATGCCCTGGATATGCTAAGAACTAAGAATTGCAATACACATCAAATTTATGAGCAAAAGGTTTTCAATCCTCTCAATCCAAATACTTGTTTTATGACTATTCACATATGCTGCACTTGCTTCAGCAAATCTGCATTCCAAAATCATCTATTTCTACAAACTCAATACACTGTAATCACCAAAAAAATTCATTAAGAATCAATAGATGAAACTTTTGGCTAAAATTACTTAAAAGTTCCACTTGTCATTAGTTTATGCTGTTATCATCTGTTGACGATTCAGAAGCCGTATCGTCTGTAGTCGAGTTTGAGGTCGTATCCAAAATGCTTCCACTCTCACTATCTGAAGATCCACAGGGCCTCTCTTCAAGAGGTGGTTTTAAGGTCCAGTACATAATACTTGCTGTCAATGTTAGGATCATCTTTTGGTTTACCTGATGGAAAAAAGTGTCCACGTCATATTATTTTAAGAAAAATTCTAAAGTATATAACTGAATAGGTAAAATTTACCTCGATAATATCTTCAGGAAGCAAAAATATAGAGCACCCAAGCTTCCTTGCTATACTGATAATGTAGGTTGCGTTCATCTTTTTCTCCTCCTCTACATTACACAAATTTCAGGGAAATATGTGATCGTATTTGAAAGAAAAAGAAAATGAGGGCAAGTCGTCACTCAAGATTCTGAGTAAGCATTATGTCTACCACAGCTACTTCAGTTAAAATAAGAAATTTCTGAAACTCTTTTTACTGCATCAAATAATAATTCTGCTTTTCATATGCACCATATACAGTTTTCTGTTCGTACACTAACTAATACAGTAATAGACATGCATTTCAAACGAGAAAATAGTAAAAACACCTAGCTTCATGCTAATATTCCTTTGGAAAAAGTGAAGCAGATAGTTCATCTATTATAATCCTGATTTAAAATTCCACTGCAATATGCAATATCGAACAACTTCAGTTATTCCAGGTTTCATAATCAAACAACATTTTCTGTGGCCGAAACCTTAAGGAAACATACCACTTTGTCCTTTCGTAACTAGACTCCAGTTGACAGATCGAGGTAGTACGGCACTAAGCAGCTCAAGGAAAAATATTCCGCCTGACAAACTCTTATCCTGCGAATAAAAATATTTGATGAATTTCATAATCTAATTTATGTTACTTTTGTACTTAAAACAGATTAGGGTACTGGTGCTGCTGCACTTTGCACTCAACATTTGTGAAAGGAAAATGTTTCACAAAATAATACCTTAAAACTGGCCATGCGGGTCTGGCCTCCTGAATTTCTTACTTTGGCGTTTGCCCACTCTAAAATGTCAGCATCAACAATTTCCTTCCCATGGGAATGGAATCTTAAGTTCTTCAAGAGTTGAAGGATGTTGAATCGCATTAGCTGCCATAGATAGGCTGAAAGTAAAGCCAATGGCCCTTTAGTTCATGATCGTATGATGTTTAACTAGAAAGGTTAAAACAATCATGATTTAATGTACAACTAGGCACTAACTAGGCAACTCGTCGTACAGCATTTTAAAAATGGCGTATTAAAGAACCTACCCAGTATTAGTTTCTTATTTCCTTGAACAATGTCATTTCCAGCGATATTGACCAGGGAGAACTTCAGCTGTTTCCCAATCTTGACAACTTGGTTGCAGTTTTCTACTTTTCTGAATGGCATTTTAATTGGTGGCTTAGTAGCTATTTTCCAGTTGACAATCCCTGGGGATACTTTGTCTAGCGTCTCTAGGAGAACCCATCTACAGAGAACAAAAGGTTCATTTAGAATGGCAATGACTTATAATACCTTTATAATCAATTTTAGACATTTGAAACTATCTGGTGCGGAAAACAAATAAAAGTTTTCCACAGCAGATCTATCTCTCTTTCATTTTGTTGTCATAGTTGCTAGCAGAATTACACTCACCCATTTCTGACATCTTCAAAAATATTGTCAATGTATGTGGAATTTCCCAGACTATTTATCCAAAAGCGGAATGATCTCTCTTCTCTGGAGATTTGGGTGTCATCTGGCAAAGTTTCGAGAAAAGATATTTGTTTTGTTTGGGTTGAGAGTCCATTCCTACATATGAAAGGTCAAGTCATATTTTATGTTAAGCCAACAATAATCATAATAAATTGTCAGAGTAACAAGAAATAGAGCAAATCATCGAATCTCAGAAGCAAGACAAGCACCACCACAGTTAAAAACGTTGGAGTGATAATTTAGAAGATATACATTCAAACAAGTTTTAATGTGCAGTATCACCGTAGAATCAACTAGGATAAAAAGATTTCCTCAAGTGGCACTGTTTAATAGTTTAGTTTTGTAAATACCAACAAAGGAAGTGATGTTGGTTATAAGTTTAGGTATACATGTTCATCTTTGTGACTCATCTAATGCTTAAAGCAGTAACTGATAAATTTCGCTCACAACAAGGTATATCTTGAAGGAAGATGATAAGTCCTATTACTTCACAACAACTCCTTGAATTACGCATATTATATGCAGTTAATAATTGGTCAAATGGATCATAAAAAATCGCCAATGTTTTTGTTTACCATCTAGAAAACTCACTTAAACAGAAACATTCATAAAGTAAGCTAATACTAAAATCATATAAACAAAAAGGGGTTTTACAGAGGCAATACCAAAGCATCAAAATTGCCATAGCAAAGAGATTGTCATAGGATGGCATTGCATTCCTGTTGTGCTTCTTTAAGCAGTAAATCTATTTAGTCCAGATGTATTCAATGATTGTACTTCTGTGTTAACTTGAAGTCATGTTTAAAAGGTAAAGCAGGAGTGCTTATTGTCTTTCGATTTCTACTTATTTTGTTACAGGCTGATTATCATTGATAGTTTTATTAGAGTATGGAATTTAAGGATAATGTAATTTCACCAAATGCTTCTGAAATTAAAAAAAAAAAAAAAAAATTCACCTGTGCTGGAAGATATGTGCCACAAAAGCAAGGTTAAGATTTGGAGAACCTTCTACAATATCTTTTGCTGTTAGGTATCTCTTGCAACCCATCCTATCAGCATGCTCGAGAACTAACTTTGCTCTTTCTAAAGGATCTTTTACTTTCAGTGTTAATGGATTGCTGTGTTCTGGTGCTAGGACATTCAAAAGATGTGCATAAGCCTCTGCATCCTGTATAGAGAGATTTTCATTTAAATTTTAATGGCATCTGTAGAAATGAGATAATTAAATCAAGACCTACCAATTGAGAAAAAATGAAAAGGGAAAACCATTACACTAAGGTTCTGATTAAAAGATGAAGATACAAGAAATTCTCAGTTAATATACTCGTTAACTCCATAACTTTTCTCCAAGAATAAAGTGTAAAGACAAGCTTATGTGGATTTCGACAAATGCTTTTTGTCAACATTTTTGCATAATTTTTATGATTTACGATTTGACAAATGTTACATCTCCATGCTGAAATTGGTCTGAAATTTATTCCTCTGAGTAGGTTCTGCTGAATCTCAACTCTTTGTTCCGAAGTCTAACCACAATGTAAAACTAAATTTGATTCCAGTGTAGAAAGAGATTAACATTAAAAGGACAAACACTGCTATCTAAATTCTGAAGAACTAATGGAACTTAGGGGTTGGATTTTTCCTTTAAACTAAGAAAAGTTTACTTGCATGAAGGACCAAGAAACTCATAGATTTTTTAAGTCAACTCATTTTCAATTACCTTTACATCAGATGAGAAGTTTGTGACTGTCTTCGTGTATCCTGCCTTTTTCAACTGAAAGTTCATCCACCTAAGTAAGATCTTTTCTGGAGCTAGACTCATGAGCTCCTCCACGTCCTGATATTCCAAGTACGAAGGGACAAAATTTAACACTTGGGAGACCAACATAGTAATATTATACACTTGATAAATATGGGAAATCATTTAGAAATTACCTTACTATCATCAACCAGCTCCACCAACTGCGGCGTTTTCTTTAAGTTGAGGTCTGCCAACAGTTGTATCTGGAATATCATATGGAACAAAATACTAGATTAGTGGCATACAGTAAACATTTGTGCAAATAGCATTTTAGACTTGAGAGACCAAACTGCCTATTATTGGACACCTTGGACTTTTGCTAATGACCAATAGTTTCATTAATATAACTACACATCCTCACCTTAATAATTTGAGATATCAATCCGAGAACAAGGTGTCTCTGAAAATAAAACACAAGGAAGAAGGTGGTCAGCTTGTAGCTCTAATATAACTCTAGATAAGTAAAAGTAACATGACCAAGTACGGCACAACTATAGATGATTGATTATGCAAAACAAAAAATGAGTTTACCAAGCAACAAATACAGCCACAGCACTACCGAATATAAAGAGGGGAAAAATATATGGTCTTATACAGAGCGGATGAGAAGAATAGCATTAATAGGGGGAGCTGAAAGTAGGAGCAAAAGCTACTTATGTATAATGTCAAAGTGATTACATTGGATCAAATCAATTGACAAGAAAACTATCGAGCACATTTAAACAAGCAGAATTAAGTTCATTTTTTATCATAACAGAACATCGGGTATTTGCCTCAACAAGATTTGTAAAATTTTAGGCTCCTGCAGAACAAAGAAGGGAAATAAAAGAAAAACTCTGCTAATAAGCTGAGAGAACAGGCTACTGATAGTTTAGAAGTTAGAGATGACCAAAATAAATTACATTTAAAACTAATTATTTGCAACAGAAAAATTATTTATGGCTACTGTGTGCAACCAAAGATTCGTAAGGTGCGAAAGAATAAAAATGTGAAAAAGAATGGCAACCGCCATGTAGCTATGAGAAAGAAAGGATCGAAGTAAAAGAAAGCTAGATTCTCTACGAGTAAATCTTGAGTAAGTTCACTCAAAATCCACCAGAAAAACCAAATGAAATGTGAAAATTAACCATAATCTAACAATTATTTGTTTATGATAGCAGGCACGTACCCTTCCTTCAATAAAGTCTTGTGTCCCTATATTGACAACAGTACACCCAATTGCCTTGGCAGAGTTCAGGCATAAGGTATGATTCTCATTCCTCTCCCATGGATTAAGCTCCCTCTTTGTATTGATAGCCCGTTCATCAATTGTTCCCGGTACGGCAACGTTAATAAGCTTACTGCATTAAAGAAGCACATTTCATAGTAAATATTTGAAGCAATGTTCAGCAAACATAGTTCATGTTTGGTACAAGATATTGGATAGGACTCAACAATAGCTTCTTCTTCCTCAATAGTGTCCAATACTATCCAAACCTCTCCACCAAACATGTGAGTACTGTACAGCATGCAACCATAGATAATCACCAGATAAGAACTCCATCCTTGGCAATCTCAAAGAGATCATTTGCTGAAGGTTCTAGGGGAAGGTATTTCTTTAAAAATGTATCTTCCGCAAGATAGTTATTGATATGTGCAACATATGATGCCTTCTCAGATTCACTTATTGTATGAAGCAGTGTAGAAGTTGGAGACTTAAGAAATGCAGATGCATTTTTTGCGCCACTTCCTCTCCTTTCTGTTGCAAGCGCCAGGAGTTTCAAATAAACCTGCAAAAGAATAATAATCTTCATGCTAAATAAACAGAATAAAAGAGATACAGAAAGCAAAATTATAACTGCCAAATTGCATCAGTCCAAAAGTCGCAAGAAAAAGGAAAGATAGAAATAAAACATTGGAATCTGCTGGAACCAAGAATGTAGAAACCATAAAAATACACGTTTTATTTGTGAGAAATTCAATATAAATAACGAGAAATTATTTTTATATTCGACTCTTCAAAAGCTAAATATTTGACATAGATTCACCAAACATCCATGAACCTAANAACAAAGTTTGAATGACTAGATGAATCCCTTCTAAACATTGGATTCTCTTGATGGAGTGTCTCATTTAAATTGACATGAAAAGTAAGTGAGTTGGAAAGAAAAAAAAAAAAAAAAAGGAGACAAGTAAAAGCACTCGACTTGGCAAATAGGAACCTTCACTTTTTGGGGGATCGAAATGGAATGCTTTTTCATACCCAACACTATGTGGACATCGAAAGAGAATCACAATCCCTTTGCAATGAATTTTCATATATCATAAAGAAACAACAAATTATAGCAGATCTAGTGATGAACATGTTGAAAAAGGATTTACATAGTCCACCGTAAATGTAATGAGAATTCTGCTGCTGTTGTCTAAAGTCACTGATTAGGAAGGAAATTGACATTAAAAAGAACTCTTTTAAGTGGAACAAGAAACTTTAGTAACTTTAATCCTCTTTTCACTCCCAAGTCCCAACGGATACAAGAAAAAGGAAAACATTTTACGAGATAAACCCTGTTTTCGCTATAGCTAACTCTAGCTAGAAGAAGTCATTCTCTTGAAATTCCGAATAACAAACAAAATCAAATTGATTTGAGAGTACTCATTTCCATGAACTTTCTCAAGCAACATTCAATTTACCTGCTCAAGCCAAAAATCCAAACTCTAAACACACACATCTACACAATAAATAAACGCATATGGTCGGTGTCTCTGTTTGTGTGTTTACCCGAAGAAAGAGTTCGAAATCAACTTCATCTTCCAAATTCTGATATGAATCCTGAAGAAATGAAGATCTCTCCTGCTCCGTAAGATTCTCTCCGACATGTTTTATTCTAGACATTTTCCCCGGCAAGTCAGCCACCTTCAAGCCACCGCTATTCTCCCTCCTCATTGCCATGAACTGCAACCAAAATCCCATGAACACCAAACAAACCAAAGCGCAGAAAAGAAGATAAAAGAATTAACTCGATAACTCAAAAAAAATTAAAGCTTACGAATTTGATAAAAAACTTACGTGGGTTTTCAAGCTCCGGAGCTCTACTTGAGTGAATTGATTCTGGAGCCATGGATCTGACACAAACACCCCAACATAACCAGCCATTTTTTGAATTCTGGGTTGTTTCTTTCAAATCGAAACACGGATTATTTGCAGAGAAATTAATCAATTATAGAAGAAAAAGGAAAAAAAGTGAGTTAGGAGACACTGGGGGACGGAAGGAGAGCTGTCAGCACAGCAAGTTCAAAGATGAATTTGAACTATGAATTCAAAATATGACTACATTGTCCTCCTCGGATTATCAAGAAACCAACTTTTTGGATTGAATAAACATTTATTTAATGCTAATAAACATAGTGCCATGGCCCCCATTAATGGCTGTTTTGTGTTTAAAGATTAAATTCTCATAACGGTCACTTTTAGTTGGACTGTGTATTTCTTTTTCTACTGTTCATACTAATTACTATCACATGGATGGGGTGAATTAGGGTTCATCACTTCATTGCTCATTTATAAAGTGCATGAAATTATGGATTCTACTTTTGACTCTTTATTTATCGTGACTAGTAAATTTGTAACGGGTGATAACGAACAAATAAGTTTTTCTAAACAAATTGTATCAAAGTAAAAAAATTTATCTGTACCATAAAATATGTGGATAAAAAATAATTTAACTTGATAAATATGCTGACGCACTTTATCTTAAGATGCCATAAGTGAGCGTTAGAACTCATATTTTGTGTTGGTCAACGCAATGACGTTTGGAGCTTGTGTGGATGTGATTTTTTATTTTTTTTTAAATTGGCTTTTTTATGGAAAAAGAGTGTGCTTAAAAAAAGTAAGAAAAATTTATTGAGAATGTTTAAATTTATTATTTTTTTTTTTTCAAAAAAGATATACACGTTTGAATACGAGTGTGGAGAAAAGTGATTTTTAAAAATCAATTCCGCACCAACACTTGACGAGAAAAGATGTTCTCAATTCAATGTATTCGACCTTTTCATTAGGGTTGATTCTTTTGCATATACTTACACTATTGGACTCAGATTTTGCATAAAACTACAAGATCAAGTCAAGAACCTTAAGTCCTATTTGGTAGGAATTAAAATTTGGATTGTAATTTAAGTGAAAGTCAACAATTAATTTTAACCACATATTTTATGGGATTCATCACTTTTCAATCACATATTTCATCAACTTTTATTAAAATTTACTAAAAAATTGATTTTAAGCATCACCAAACAGGGCCTAACTCTCGGAAATAATAGACATCCCTACGGGCCTTTGTTATATCAAATCAGGGACAGATGTAGGGGCGACTAGACTAGGCTACGACATTATTTTTTTGGTATTCATGTGTAATTATTTTTATTTTTTTTTTACGTATTAACCCAGCTTATAGTTCGATTTTGGATCCGTTTCTGCATCAAATTATTGATTATGAAGTTTGACATGAGTTTTTGTAAGACTTCTTGATATTCCTACGCTAACAAAGTTGTTTCCTACTAATAATGAGGTTAATACAAACTCATTAGAATTTACAGATATTCACATGGGGGTGGGCCCCATGTAAGTTAAATATTGCCAAAAAATAGGGTCCACATATTTGTGTGTATTCTGTATGCTTTGTATGCTTTTTGTGTATGTTTTTTCTGTACACGTGGACTCTCTCAACTCATTAAAGTTGCTTCCACTAAAATTTATCAAAGAACTTTGTCAAAAGATATGGGAATTTTTCTCATTGTCCTGTTGTGATCCTTAATTTGACTAGTTAATGTTCGAGTGACGGTTCAAAAGCTACAGATTTAGGCTCTGATTGAGCTCCATTTTTTGTTAAAAAAATAGTGATTTTTTGGTGAATGTGTGGTTAAAAAAAATTGAGTTTAGGTGTAAATTATTTTATTAGAAAAATATATTGTTGAAAATGAGTTTGAAAAAACAAAAATTTAAAGAATATGACTTAAACATGACTTGATGCCAACAAACACAATCAAGGCACCCTCGTGCAACATTATTTCCTTTCAAATTCGATGGGCATTATAGTCATTTCAAAAGGAGGACCAAATTGTCATTTTTCAAATTGGGAGGCCCCACCACGAGAACGATGGGTTGCTTTTGAAAAAGTTTGAATTGATAACAGAAAGGCTCCAAGCTTTTGATGCCAACAGCGGGCAACAGCTACTTGATATTGAATTGCAAAGAATTGTAGGAATGATTTAACATAGACCAAACACAGTACACTATGCATTTGTTTTAAGGAAAAGTAATTATTTCACATCTCTTGTCAAATATATAAATAATTGTTTTCGTCTCTCAAAATTTGAAATCTTATGAATTGATCAAATATAAGACGAGTGAGAGACTAAATACTGCAGTGATAAGATATGACTCCTAATAGTTTAGCAGATAAGTTAATGAGTTGCACGCGAATTAGCTTCAAGTCCTGAGCTCGACGTCTATCACTCGAGTATCTTATCAAGTCAAGAGGGAAAAATATATAAATAAGTGATTATCATAAAAAGTGATTATAGGGCAATTGATGAATATCGCTTATCTGTAGATTTGAGGGCATTTATACCAAAATGAGAAAGCTCATGTGGGCAATGCAATTCAGTGGAATACATGAGAAAATGGGGGACAACCTTGGTAGGGCACACAATGTTTATTTCTATGGTTTACTTAGAAGAGATTGTCATGTGCTTTACTTTTCTAAACATATTCAGTAGAGCATGTTCTTTCCTTTTATTGAAGCGGTGTGCCTTCGTGTGCTTGAGGTGTTATCTTTGTATGCCCATGTTGTTGATTTCATGTCACAATGTTCTTGTGTTGTTGCCTTCAAGTGCCACGACGTGTCTGGGTTAATGTCTTTGGGTGTCACAACATGTTTGAGTTAATGCTTTATGCGATATTGTTGTCGATTTCGTGTTAGAACTGCTACCTTCGTGATGCCACCAACGTACCCAATTTCTGATCAGCAGTTCAATATACTTAAACATATAAGTACATTGAAGTGTACGTATGATTTAGAGTAGGCAAACGGACTTCATAGCTATGCTTAACAAATTAGACTAGTGGTTAAACGATGTGATTGTTAATTAAAAGTAAAGGGAAAGAAGGGTTTGAGGGGTATTGTGAAGTGCAAATTGGTTAGGTGTGCACATTTTGGACAGGTAGGCCCAATCGACATATGGGTTTCCCACCACGTGATTGTTTGATCTTGAATAGCAATTGTCATCATTGTTAGTGATTGGACATTGAAAAAGCAATATATGATCGTATTTCATTTGATTTGCACCATCATTCACAGATTATTTATAGTTCAAAAGATCATCCACTAGCGTATAAAGCTCACAATATGTTAGATAACGTGCAAATTTTAGTATACAGTATATAACGAACGATGAGAACCTTCAAGATAAGTTTGATACACAGTACTGAACAAAACTACATGAAAGAATTGACAAGATTTTGACTTTCTTTATTAATCTAGTCCAGTATTGTCTAAGTCTAAACTATCAAACATGTCCTTAAAGCATCATTTAGTCACTGCAAAATCAAACCGGTGTATTCTTTCCATAGCCAAAAGACAAGCATATAGCAATTAAATGGCAGACGGGACAAACATATACCTTTGAATATGCAATATAACATAAAATACATTATTACAACAAGAACAAGGTCGGTGTTTTCCAAAAAATGTACACAAAGAAGATACCAATATACTGTTTAGTGTTTAGCACTTGAGGAACCACAGTATGCAAAAGGGGAACAAAGAATCACCAAAATCCGTGGCAAGTTGAACAAACATTGACACTCCATTGTCGTTCTTATTCAAAGGCTTCCAACAGGGAATAGTAAACTTTTTCTTAATCCTATGTTATGTTTCGTTTCTGATCTCCTTTACCTAAACATCATGCATGCATTGACCAAGAAAAATAAAAGCGACTCAAACTTGCATCATCAATTCATCCAAGTCTAGGACCTACGGGTGTTTCTGCATTATTTGCACCTCCTGAAATCCCCACATTTGACAAGATGAAACATATCATTAGAAAGGTCCTTAGGTGAATGACTTGAGGTACTTTATATGTGCATTTCTTTATTTTATATTACGACTGACACTACAACCAGAAAAGGCATCCCACCTTGACATTACACACTATCGATTTACAGAAAATTCGAAACATTGACACTCGACTTGCAAAAATGGTTCGTGACCTGTGCTGTAAAGACTTGGCCTCTCACCGGAACCGTTATCTTACGTACTATCCGCTATGGGGTGGGCTTCTAGCCACTTATCCCTTCATGGCTTTCTGACGCGTCCCCCAAGTTCGAACTCAAGACCTCCATCATATGGGAGATTTAAATTGAATCCTGGTGCCAATTGGACGAAATTTTAATGTCTTTCGAAGGTCAGACTGAACATTTTTTGTGACTAAAATTTATCTTACTCCCATGATTAAACCGTATTTAGAACTTACCGTATTTGAAGAAAGCTAATCGAATTTTTTTTTCACATTTCAGTCGACCGAAGTATCGACCGAAATTNAAAAATAAAAAAATTCAAGTGCCGTTACGAAGACAAAAGTTCAACGTCAGTTTCATCAATTTTTTTTCCAGAAACATAAATTTCAAAGTATCAGCGAAAGTAGGTGGCAGTGCAAAAAGATGTTATATTTTGTGTTCAAATTATAGTTTTCAATACCTATGTTTTTCTTTCAAATGCAATTGTACATCCGGGTACGGTGCTTCGGCACCACAATAGTACAACGGTTAAATGAAAAAATGGTACCCCCGGTACGGTGTTTCGGCATCTATATAGTTGAATGATCATTCTCCGACTCGAGGCGTCATATTAAATCATGATTCAACAGTTATTGGATTCCACCGGAAATCCTTCCACACGACAGTTCTTCTTTTTAAAAAAGCTACAGATCGAAAATGTATAATTTGATAATGAATGCACCTATGATATCTATTGAGTTTCAAACTCATGGGTTTTATTCCCTTACTACAGGTTGATACGATGCGTGGGACGTGGATGACGGTTGATGAAGATGCAACATGCTAAGGGAAGCCGGTGATTTTACATGTTTAATTTATCTAAGAAAAAGTTTACGTTGTTTAAGTACCTCTCTGCACACTATATGTAGAACTATCCTACGAGTATTTTCCCTTTTTCTATGAATAAAGTATGTTCACAAACGTTACGTGTTTTTGGAAGAAAAAATTATTTACGCGTTACCACTTACAAACAAAATGTCAACAATTAAAAACTTGTACTATCTCTCAAGGGATTTCGTTTTTTTCCCCCTCTGCTTTTAGGTAAAAGTTTAAGCTTTCTGCTAAAAATTTGTTAATCACTAAGTCAACGGCTACAGTTAAGTGACGGTTCGATCCATACGAGTCGGGGCGTTACACGTGCCCCGTGAGAACTAGAACTTAATTTCTTCAAGAATTTGAAGTGTATTCTGATGAACCTGTAACATAAAATCAAGGATTCAACTGTTTCGGCATCTTATGTGCGTAATGATGTAGGACATCCCACCGCACAAGCACCCATGTAACAATTACATGCCTCACAGTGATTAAAGCAATGACAGAAAGCTCATGGATTTGAGGAGGTTTCAAGAAATGCAGAATTATCTCTGAAACGAAAGTGTTTGACGTTTTGGTAACACTTTTATGAACTGATGTGGCAAAAGTCCATTGTGTTGTAGAATGAAATTTGGTTCGTAAGATTTTGAAACAATCATTGGTTCCAAATAAAATTTGGCAGAAGTTTCTGGCCAACTTTTTTTAGCTACCAAGAAATGCGTGTAATACGATAATAATAGGAGAGAAATCACAAGATATCCAGTTTCCAGCAAATATCCGAAGGAACGTGTGACATTCTATTTAATAATTATTCAAATTTTTCATTTTAATATTTTTTTCAAGGGAATAGGGGGATATAGATGGAGCATATATGCCACCTAAGACCTAACAAGTCCTTAAAGCATAAATCAGAGTAAATCAATAAAATTCATGCTTCTCATCTGAATCAAACACAAACAAAATGATATTGTAATATCCTCCTTGGACTCGTTACATGTTTCCGCATATGTTCGTGGAAGCTATAAACTAAATTTACTGATCAAAAATAAACAATATTTATGTTTGAACTTACCTGGAAGAGATTTTCAAAAGACAAAGAAACCAAAATAGCCTAGTCCACCATACTTACCTTGGAAACAGTCTCAAGAAACATGCCAGGGCGCACAGGTAATGGTTTACAACAAGTAATGCTTGCCTGAGTATCAGGATAAGATGGTCAAATAAATGCATCACCTAAGTCACAATGATACATCTAGATTCTTTAATATGACTCTCTATCACTGTAGCAGAACATTTCTCACCTTTTCTGCAATGCCACTTGTTTTTTCACCTATGATACCTGTGTCACCTTCAGAACTGTCCGCGCCTTCATCTTTTCCTTGCATTACACTTTTTATCATCTCATGTCAAGTTCTCCCTGGTCTTAGAGCGACAAGCTTAGTTAAAAAGTTGAGCTGTCAAACATGATGTAGTTAAAATTATTAGGAATAGAGTAGGAGCGTCTTCAATATATACTTAAAGGATTAAGCAATTGATTATTCAAAAAAATAGCAATGTAGTCAGTAGATTCACTTAAAAATTGGTATCTAATAATAACCAGAAATTACAGACCCCAGATTCAGGAAGAATTCTTTCATCTAGTATTCCACATTCCATCATATTCCTGCCTTCTTCTCTGATCAAAACCAGCCTTGCAAGCAGCTTTCGATCAGGAACAACAGGACTGGATTCCATTGTCTGCACAAAAAACGATTGCATCAAACAGCATATGAGGGATCATAGTAAGAAACTGAGAGCGAGAACGAGCATGATGATTACAATGTCAGTACAAAAATGTTAAGACTGAAGCAATTAAAAATAGTGTCTAGAACGTAAAAAAATATGTTGCAAATTTATTGTACTTTTTGTGGCGGTGGGGGGATGGATTCAAGAAATGTAGGAGTCCATCTTGACTTCAGAACGATGAATGTTAAAATAGGTCTCGCAAGGAAATATGTGACACTACCATAACTCCATACACAGACGAGAAATGTAAAAGCATAGCATGCATCTTTGATTAGCTACCTCCAGAAGATCATCAGCCTGGCTAGCTATATCATTCAAATTGGCCTGAAAGGTGAACTTTTGTATTGTTCTCTTTTAAATACACCACCACCACCGCTACTCGCCTGAGTAATTTGTGTCTGCTTTCCTTTTAGGGAGTTCTGCAGAGACTACCAAGCATTTGAACCCAAAGAAGGATGTAAAAGAAAGGTTCTTCCATTAGCATGAGTTTAAGAAGATATTATGTAATGGACCAAATAGTGGTCGAGTTCACAAGGACTCTCATGAGGGGGGCAATTCATTGGTGAGATGGGACAATACAGTCTCCTTAATCATCTCATATAGAGACTTCCTCTGAAAAGAAATAATTGATAAATAAATGAATTCCACCCATACTATGTTTCCATAAAGAAATATAAGTATGAAACAAAAGGCAAAAGCTCTAAACAAAATTATAAGAATGACTGAATGAGGATGATTCACTACATAAAGCGCAGTTCATCCTATAATCTTAAGATGAGAAAAATGGTTCGCGTCTATCTCAATAGCAAATGGATATTGCTATTTTAAAACATAACAAACAGGTATTATTGCTGCCACTAACATTAGAATCCCAAGCCAAATAACTTTCTATTTGAAGTTCGTGCTAATAGAATGAATATCTTCAGCCACTGGACTCAATCAACATTGTCAGTGCAATTTCAGTCATAGTATGCCTTTCATGATAAGGTATGAGTACTGTTGACCTCGAAAAATGACTCGGACACGTGGCCAACAGGATAGGTCTTCAAGTCAGCTCCTCCTGCACACGTAGCACGCCGTCAGTCACTCGTGGCCTCTCCCGGAGGGGGTGGGAGCGGCCGCAAGTACTCCGACGGTCAAGTCAGTTTTATATTCTACCGGTAAGGGTTTCACCGGCGGTAGAACACTCGCCGGGGAGGTGATCGATATAGCGTAGATAAGATTGACAAATATCTAAGGGAAATGATGATACTTTGTTTTTTTGCAGTATTTAGGAGAGTAAAAGGGATTCCAATCCCTTCTTGGGCACAATGAGGGGTTATTTATACTAAGGATGGAAGGAGGAGGGCCATTGGATGAGGGGACACGTGTTGCCGGATCCTCAGGGCTCGTCCCATCCTAGGTGTCACTCTGTCCCACCATAGGTCGACTGTTATTGAATGTTTTTAGCCACAGGCTGCTGATTTGACCGTTTGAGAACCTGCCACACGTCCCATCAGTCAGAGATTTGACTTTGGGAAGATCTTTGTACAAAGGATCTTCGTAGAGGCGAGGTGTGGCAGGTGAAGCGTTGTAGCGTTGTAGAAGCGGAGTGCGGGCCTTTGCGTCCACTGCGTATTTGTGGATGAGTCCGATTCGTTTGCTGATGCGTATTCTGTTCGTTCCTAATACAATCACCTCGGCATGTACAATCAGTTCGTCCTTTGGTTTAATCACCTCGTCCGGTACGTGGCTTGGGCCACGGGTGTGGACACGTGGCGGGCGAGGTGGCGGGTCTGACACAGGCCCGTAACAAGTACTATCTATTTATACAACATGAGTCAGAAGGATTTTAATGCGCCTAAATTTTATGCCTGAGCTACTCAAGATTACTCACAATGAAAAGCCCTCTTCAAGAACTCAATACCTATAAAAGGTGAAATGAAAATGGTTTCAAATCTCATTCAAATGTCTGATAAGAATGGTCTACAGTCCTGCATGACTCCGTAGAAACCAGTGTACAACAATGCAAACTGTTATCTTTTTTTTCACCAATGCAATAGAAAAAAGTAGTTGAAGGGTGAAATAAACCATGCGCATGACTTTAAAATTTAATCATCCACCGAATTCTAAGTCATAACAATAATCATGGTCTTTTTCAGCAATTTGGATCATGTAATCAAGAGCCATTATAAACCCTGATTCCATCTTATAAACTCTCTTCCCAATCACTCCCTGTGCAGCCAACTGTACTGCCACCTCTTCGGATGCTTCATCCATATTCATATTTTCTTAATCGTTGTTACATATATAGATTAAACAAATAATTGTGTTACCATATTTTTGTACTGTTGCATAAGTAGCATGACATTTGGAACTGGGTTTCTAATGATAATCTCTTAAAAGTACACTTCAAAAAATGATTCAAAAGTTCTGATACCCTCACATAGCAATATTTTATGGTCCAAGTTGGTTCAAGAGTTCATTACTTGATCGTGTCCAATCTCCGAAATATTGTAGACTAATAGTAAGTAAAATTCTTAAATTCCAGATACCCAGTTAGATTTCTGGAGAGCCGTTAGACAGAAGATTAAGGTACAGGGTTTTAGTATGCAAGTCGCCATTACAATCTCCAGTTCTTTTAAACAGGCAATTTTCACAAATTTAAGATAAATAGCTGGCATAACGCAACTATGTTGTGTACTGAATGAAAATACCCTGCAGAATTAAGTTCCAACACGGAAGGAGTCTAAAAATATAATTTCAGTTAAACTTTTAAGTCAAATACAAGAGGTGGCAAAGCATTTTACCCTTAATTCCTCACTGAAGCAATTTCATGCTTCCAAAGCAGCAATAGACAATATGGTTATTGTTATGTGAAAGGCGAGGGTGACTGGGGAAAGAAGAGGCACAGGTCAGCAAGAGAGAAGAGGAAATTCAGGCTGAATGAAGAAGACGAAGTCCCAACAGAAGTACCCAACATTTGAAGTTCTAAACGGTGTTGTATGGTTTAGTTAGAACGGAGTCGTTTTGGGTTCTAAATAATGAGTCATGCTAGTTGTACAATCGAGGTTGACAACCTCAATTGACAACCACTCACATGGGTGGTCCACTTTCTTTTTTTTTTTTTAAATTTTTTAAACATGCACGCACACATGTGAGAGGGTTGTTAAGATCGGTTGTACAAATAGAATTTTCACTAAATAATTGTAGGGTCTTACTACATGTACCCTTTGAATTACACTTTGGGTTACTCGGCCCACTCCCTCCCTCACATGGGGATTGGATCCCACGCATTTATTGGATGTGGGACCCAACCTCCATGTGAGTGAGGAGGTGGGGTCGGGTAATCCAAAGTGGTTGAGTAGCATAATTCATACGACTTTGCCATGAGGTATATAAACGCTATTGTGCAAGGATCTGTCGTTGAGTTTTGTGATTTTCAGTTGAGAGTGGATTAATTCCTCTTCATCTCTCGTTTTCCTCATTTTTACCCCTCCCCATTCTATTTTATCTTGGTCTGGTTATATTTCCAGCTGAATTCAGGTGGGAAGGAGTTGATTGTTGGATTGTGATTGTGGAAAAGCCATTGTCACAGCCGCGACAGTTTTATGGCTTAAAATATTACCACAGTATTTAACAAGCGTAAAATAATGTCTATAACTGCTGCCAAATATTCCCGAAAGCAAGCAAATGGAACTTATGAGCTTGACCATTTCTTCAAGAACAAAAGTGACCTGGTATCCAACTCTGAGCAGAGCTTCTTACTGGGCAGCGTCCATTTAAGGTAATCTTGTTCTTGTCTCCTATTAGAGGTTCATCCGACCTGTGAGAAAAATTGCTCCATGGGTAAGCCCCGAGAGGCGGCCTCACAAGTGGCGCACAAGGCCAAAACGTTAGTCCTCTTTGAGATGGGGTTTGGCGGCAGCCGGCAAGTGGTGAGGGTCATTGAAAAAGATAGATGATATTGAATTTGAAGGATTAGGAGTAGCAGTAGCAGTACAAAAGGTGTGGAACAAAGGAAGAGGCCATGGAAGAAAGGAGGGAGAGACCCTGGATTTACTATCGAAGAAGTGCAAGTTATCCAATAATAGCCTGATGCAAGAAAATGAATAAATAGCGAAAATAAGAAAATTAAACGCCGTCTGTGGGAATCGAACCCACGACCACGTGGTTAAAAGCCACGCGCTCTACCGGCTGAGCTAAGACGGCTTGTTGATTAATTTTACTTTTTGAAATATTAGGGGATTGTGTGCACAGTAGAAACTAGAAAGCATCATCTATTGATTTAAAGCGTTTAATGAAAATTTTATTTATTTAAATATCGTATTCTGCAAATTTCACCAATGTTAAACTATAATTTGAAAATTTGCAGCAAACTCCTCCAACTTGTTAAAATTGTACAAACAAATGCATTATTGCCACTTAGCCAAACCAATTGAAAAGCAAGTTTATGTTGAGAATATCACTAAATTGTATTTCACGCACATATGCCAGGTTCAATCAGCACTGTTGAAATACGTGCCATTTACTTTATATTAAAAATAATTCCACGTTTTGCATAAAAATAACTAAATTTAGAATTTGAGGTGAAATGGAGACAGCTTAAAGATGATATTTTTTATTAGTTGTGAGTTTGAATTTGAAAACTTAGCTAGATGTTCTAAAGTTACTAGTTTTGAGCAACTCGTGAAAATTATTATTGAATAAAAGTGAAATGAAATATGATGCTACCAAAATACGTACCTTATTCGACTTGAGGAGGTCGGAGATGGAGATAACCACGAACAAGCACTTCTTTCCCTTGGAATGACTTGGAAATAAACAAGGTAAAGACTATGAGAAATATCACGAGCAACTTCCAATACTTGCAAAAAGACGACAATGTGGGATATTGGTATCCCTTCAATAGGGGGAGGGGGCTAATATACAGAAAGGTGTGTAGTATAGTGAAAAGATTTGCACATCAAGGAAAATATGGTCTCCTTAGTTTAAGAGAAGGGCTCCCTAGGTAGAGTTTGGATATGATAGAGAGACTTGAGGGGTCCTATCGTGCCATTGCCATGGGCCAAGGTGTCCACCTAGGTGAATACCGAGGGTATAGGGTGATCGTTGAGGTGATGGGGTGATTGGCTGAGGTTGTTGGTAGGGTTTTTACGAACCTTGATTGATGGTGTGAAAGTAAAAGGAAGAGAGTCGAGGCAAAGAACGATATGAGTTGAGAGGTCTAACAAATTTTACGAGTAGAGTCGGACCTTCTACATATGTCACCTCTAGAGGTTGGTAACTTTTGACCAATTCATGAAATTTGACTATTGGAGTTGTCTCCGTAGCACAATTGTAAGTTATTCAAATTTTTGACTCTCTAAAAGTATGGACTTAGAGGGTGTTTGGTGTAGAGTAAAATCAGATTTTAAGTGGATCGTGAAAGAAGTTTTTGTAACGTGTAATTGAAAAGATGTGGGACCTATGGAAGATGTGGTTGATATTGATTATTTGACTTTGACTTAAAATCTGGCCCAAACAGTATGTTTCTTAGCAAAAATTTAAAAAAAAACTTGTTTTGTAGCACGTAGTGTGATTTTTGGGGTTAGCTTTGTAGCACCATGAAATTTTGGTTTTCTAAATGCACTACTTAATGTATTTCTTTACATAATTTAAAAATCAACTCATTTCCTAGCACATGTGGAGCTCATTTATATAATTGAAAGCTTCACTTGAATGTGCTTACTATTATTACTACGTCTTATATAGATAAATATATACGAGTTTAGATTCATCGAACAACTTAGTTTTTACAGTATAAGTTAATCAAGAGTAAATACATTTATTTTTTAAAAATATATTATTTTCTACACAATTTACTACACACATATAGAAGCCGTTTCCAAGATGAATAAAGCTAGTTGTACACATATTTGATGAAAATTCATGTATTGTCAAGATCTCGATCATTAATTTCAAAAATAGTTTTAAAATGAATGTATATGATGTTTGACAAGTTACAGATTGCAAATGAAGTTTTAAACGGGATTGTACAACTAACACGAGTCTTCCAAGATTAACATTATCACATTTTTAGTACCTCTATGCTGAAACGTCACAAACTTGAAAAGATAAGATACATGCACGAAAAATAAGTTGGAAGTTTAATTTTATACAAGTGTATAGATTAAGGACCTTTCATGTAATTTTCCCTTGTAATTAAGCCCCTATTTGATCACCAGTAGTTTTTCACTCTTTTTTCTACATACTCATTTTTAACCACGATTCATAAAATAAAGAGTAATTTTATTTAACATTAGTGGTACTAAGCACCAATTTAGGTAGCGTGCAAATGTCATTAATTGATAAATTAACTTTTAAGTAGAAAAATAAATCACATTAAATGTCCAATCACTTGTATGACACCTAGATAGTGATGGCAATGGGGCGGGGCACCCTCACCCCATCCCGCCCCACCACGCCACTCCCCCTCCCCGCCCCGTGCCCCACCCCGCCTTAGACGGGGCGGGGTGGGGCAGGTACGGGGCTGGGACTTGCCCCGTTTCCTGCTCCATTTGTTTTATTTTTATTTTTATTTAAAATACAAATTCAAAATTTTAAAATCCAAAACAAATAATATTCAAACTAACTNGAACCTCGCCCCGCCCCACCCCGCCAACCCGTTCGGGGCGGGTTTTTTCGCTCCATTCGGGAGGGGGGGAGGCGGGAAAAATTGCCACCTCCACACCTAGAGTGATTCTAATGCCAACGGTGCCAGATAACATTATTCATGATATTTTGTACGCAAATCCAATTTTTTTTAATATTTTAACTATACATTCTTTTAAAAATCACTATTTAAAATATTATTTGAAAAAAAAAAATGACCGGGTGAAGCCCCATTTGCCCACCATTATTTTTCATTTTAATATTTGGATTGGCAATTTTTTTTTTAAAGAATGTGTGATTGAAAAAAAGAAAAAAAAATTTAAATTTACAAGTAATATTATTTTAGTGTAAAATAAATGATTAATAAGAAAGGAAAGTAAAATTATAATTTTAATAGGTGAACCTAGATTGCATGGCCCAATGGCTTAACCCATGTTCCCTAACAGGTCAGTAAAGCATCAACCGTTCTATTCCTTCTAGAAATTTCTACGACTTGCAAATTGTCCTAAAATACCCTCATACACAGTCTCTCATTGCTGTCTTGGTGGGGCATAAATGTCATTAACGACTGTAATTTCAAATATTTCCACGGGCACTTTTACACCGTTGGATGAACTGTGAAAAGCCTACCACAAAATTTGGCCGTTAGCGTTTTACAGTGGTATCAGTGTAAATAAGAACCAAATGGAGGTCAATTGTCGTAAGGTAAAACTGTAAATGAGAATGAGAAGTGAGGGCTAACGTGGAAGTAAAATTAACTGAGAATATCTAAAATATCCTTGTGAAGAACAGACGGTTACGTGTCCTTACTTCCTATAAGTAACACCGAGACACGCGTTCTACGTTCATTCAGCCCTTTCATTTTCTTTATACTTTCTCTTCATTTTCCCTCTTTGGTTGTTAATCTCTCTCTAATGGCGGAGGTACAAAACGGAGCTGGCGCTGAGAAGCTCTCTGCGGTGGCTTTCACGGCGGTGAAGCCATGGGTTGTGGTGGATGCACCGAAAGCCAGCGACGCCGTGCAGTTTTACAAGACGGCCTTTGGAGCCGAGGAGCTGAGCCGCGTCATGCACCCCAAGAGGAAGGCTGATCAAGAGATTCCGCTTGTTCTCTCTGCTGAACTCAAGATCGGCTCTGCTATTGTTGTTGTATCGGACCTCATTGATGACGACTCTGCTCCGTATGGTTTTTTGTCTTTTTTTATTTTCTTCTTTCATTTTCTTTGCATGAGTTTGGAGGTTTTTCCCCTTTTTAATCGTTTTATGATAGATCTACGGTTCTGATTATTTAAAATGTTCGTAGCCGTGGTTAATATTTTATTTCAGATGTTTATATTTTGTGATAAATCGTGGTTCTTACTCTCTTTTGTTTTACCTATTTCTGAAAGTCGCACGTATTTTGCTTTCCTTCTGCGATCACTCGTTCTATAATAAATCTACTCTTGTGACTCGCCTGAATCATTTTTAATTTTTTATGCATGCCGTTGCTGTAGTTTATCTTTTTAGTAATGGATGAACAGTGCAGTAAATGTATTTGTCCTGTTTTTGTTGTTTAGGGTCAAGTCTGCTGTAACCGAAGGTGTGTTCTGCCTTGAGACTGAGGAGGTGGAACCTGCCTTGTCCCAGGCGGTGAACGCCGGCGCCACTGCGGAAGGAGAGATATCCGAGGGTGACAGCGCGTGCTGCGGTGGGCGCGTGGGTAAGGTGAAGGACCCTTATGGTAATATCTGGCTTATCTGCTCTCCCCCGAAGAAATGCGCTGACGTGGCAGCTTGAGAGCCCTCTGATTTGATATTAATCAACTTGCTTTCCTATTCCAGTCCTTTTAATTTTCTGTGTTGTCTCTAGTAACAAACTTGATTAACTTTTGGTACAACTAATGGCAGTATTAGTAGTTAAAATAGTCTGATGGAGGTTAAGCTGCTCATAATCATGTACTGGTTAAGGGATTTTCAACGATTAAACTTGGTTTATGTGACCTTTTATCTTACAGATTGCAGTTATGTGCTTATTTTACTTGCCAATTAATATCTCTGACGTGATTTTCTTATTGCAAATATATGTATGTGGCTGCTTTAATTTTTAAAGCTGCATTTAGTGGTTGAGGGCGGTTTTAGAGGGGTTCCACTTGCAGCCAAGCTTTTATTGTGGAACGGGAGTAGTTTCCTCGTGAATAGTGCATGTTATTTTGGAAAAGTCAAAAGATGTACCTTCCTAATTAACGGGTTGTTTCCTCCAATGGCAATGTTATATTGGTTTTGATGGGATCGTCCAAGTTGAAACGAGAAGATAAGGTGGAAATTTTAGGATATATTTTGGAAATGAAAAACTAGTGAGAGGCAGCAGTACGTAGATAATTCAACTTTGTATTTTTTGAATAGGAAATTACACCAGATGTCATTTTTTGGGTTTGCATTTACGAAAATGTCACCGTTTGAAAGTTATTGCAAAATTGTCACTTTTGGACTTTTTTGCCCCTCTAAAGAATTAAAATACCCTATACTTTCTTGAGTTGACAACATAAAAAATTGTACAAAAAATAAAAAAGTTGTACCAAAACATGACAAGCAATCACATCACAATTGTACTTGAAAATTTTGGCCAAAAAATTGAAAAACTCTAACAAGACCTTCCGTACAACACAATTAAGAGAAGCAATTTCTTACCTCATTACCAAATGTTGAAGAAAATCCACTACCCCACAATTCAAAACTTTCTCCAACTCTTCTAGTCGGTGATTCAACATTTGGAAAGGTAAGAGTTCACGAGAGGAACCTTGCTGGAAACAACCCAACTCAACCGTCTGCCACCACCTCAATAAAGAAGAAGAAAATGAAGAAGGTGGGACTGAAGAGGCAACATGGAGATTTCAAGCTGAATTATTGAGGGATGAGTGTAGTTTCTTAAGAACAGAAAGAGAATTTGCTTTGAAGAAATTGGAGAAGAACATGGAGAGGACTCTTCAATCGGTTGTTCATACCCTTATTTCTGTGAGTTTAAAATTTTACCTACAAGATGGTGGCTTGTTTAGAAAGACGAAAGTTGGGAGTCGACTGCTCGTTTGAGTTTTTTCTGACATTCTATCTTAAAAAGCTCAAACGAAAAGTCGATTCCCAAGTTTTATGGGTCTAAGATTCCTTGAAAATGATTTTTATTTATATATATCATTGATGCTGAGAGATTTATACGACATATTTGATTCACTTAGAACACTTGTGATTTCAAAGTTACTTTGTTTTACTAACAAGAAAGTAATATACTTTGCACGTGCTCTTATTCTATTGTTTTGAATATACAACAACAAATGCAAACTAAAGGATATCAATTTGTTGATACATTAAGGGAATGACGATTAGGTGGTTGCGACTGTTTTACATAAGGTAGATGTAAAGAGGCTCCTATACATTACAGGATCCGATAGTTCATTTCACTGGAGAAATGGCACTGCGGCTAACTGTCGTTCCCGACAGTTCACCTCTGTAATTCTCGACAGATGGGTGAAATGTGGACAAGTGAACTGTCGTTCCCGACAGTTAGCCGCATTCATTCTCGGCAGATGACTTACTGTAAGACATAATGTGAACCACACTTTTTCCATTTTTCAAGAGAGTACATTGGTAACTTGTTGTCCCGTATTTTATGATTTCCGTGTTGCATTGGGTGATTAGTTTTATTTCGTTATATGATCCACGTAATTTCGTTAAATGAGATTTTCTTACATCCGTATCAGTTGGACTGTATAGGTTTCTTCTTTGTTTGTCTGTAGTATGATTGTTGTCGGGAGACTAATGTATGACATATTTCATGACTTTAGCAAATCAACGTACACAAGCTTATTTGAATGGGGCTTTAGTATCATGCTTGCGTTGAAGGACTCGATGGCTTGTAGAAGCACCCCGTACATTGCAAAGCCCGCGTGTTATTTTGTTCCCGAAGATGCATGGAAGAGATTTTGTGATAATGTTGATCCTGGAGTATGGAACAATTTGTTTTGTGAAACATTAATTTCAAATATTCATGTAATTATTTCAATCATATTTTTGTACCGGAGTATGAAACAATTTGTTTTGTGATTTTGTGTACATTGAATTTGAATGTTAATTCATGTAGCAACTACATTGCGTTTACTCATTCGTGTTGTTTGTATGAATGTCGAGATCAGTGTACATCACAGTCGTAAATACTACTCATTTAACTCATTGGACAATGCATGGGGGATCATGTAGCTTTACAACTTGAAGCACATAATTACATAAAGCAACGTTTACGTGAGTTGCGTTACATTGGGGTTCGAGCATGTGTTTCGAGTATGACCAACTCGATCATAGCAAGTGCAAGTCCTTAGTCGTGACCTGGAAGTGGTGGACTCGTATCTGGATCGCTTACACTTAAATCAACGTCTACCTGGAGGATGATATACAGCTGGTGGCAAAATAAAAATAACTGTAATGTCGTTCGGTCGACTTAGGTCTTCATTTTCATGTATTTCGGCTGAAGGTATATTCAAGTTCAGGACTTTGAACTTTAATTCAATTTCAGTGCGAGGACGAGAATACCGAGTTTTTCCTTCAACCGTGGAACAAGTCTTGCTACC